AGTTGTGAGAAAGGCTGAGCCTTTTGTCCTGTGAGATGATTTAGGATGGGAGTGAAAATACAGTGCACCTCAGGTGGCTGAGAAGAAGCAACCCTGGCTACAGATGGATCTCAAGCCTCTGAAGGTGGGGTGAGAAGAGAAGGACACTGGAAGCTATGGGGAACCAAAAAACCTCGCTTGCAATTACTTGTGACAACTGTTGTCTGATTCTTCCTGCCACAAGCTCCTGCTTTCTGTTAACCTCCTGAAACTGATTTAGATTTTTTAATTTGTATTTTCTGTCTTTCTATCTCTTCCTTTTGTTCTTCACTGTGCAAGTTGCACATAAATCATCTCAGGAAGGGACTTTGCTTGGCCCTTTACAGTGATGACAAGCTGAGGGCCTAAAGATCCCCAGTTTCCCCAGGGATTAATCACCTCTAAGAAGAGCAATTTACATTTTTAGTGGGAAGGAAACAAATTAACACTTTTTTTCCTACAGATTAGGCAAAATACTGGCTGTTCACAAACATAACTGGTTGATAGTTCATTTATAATATAGCAGAGTCCCTGTTTGCTGGCTGCTCTCTCACCCCACTGAGCAAAACACCAGGGTGCATAGAAGCCACTGGGTAGTGATGCAGACCGAAAAAACACAAGATTTTTACTTGTAGGGCAAGTTCCCCTGCATTTGAGTGATGTGTGGCTCCCCACAGCCCCACAGCCTCACAGTAGTCTGATTTGAATGGATTTTAAGCAGGCACATCCAAGTCGTGTCCTATGGAGAACTGGGATGACATACGTGCTTATCCCACAGGTTGAAAAAAATGACCCAATACCAATGTGCAAATAGAGCATGAACTTTGGAAGGAGAGAGGCCCAAACCTCATTGCAGGGGCTGTTGGCTCTCTAATGAGCTCTAAGACCTTGTGTCTTTGCTGGGGAAGAAAAATCACAGCTCAGCAGCTGATGACATGCAGGACATCATAAGGTGGCACCATCAGCTGCTGCCACATCCTGATCTTGGGCTGTTGGTACTTGCTGCCACACCGTGTTCTGCTCCTGGAGTCAAAGCCCCACTTAGCATAAATAAGGAGGCTCCATTTACTCCCGTGTTACCGTGATGCAAAGCAGGTGTCAAACAGCAGTGTCACCTCCAGCAATTACCACGTGATTTATATCCTCTAAGCAAAAGCAGGGAAAGCAGTTGTACTTCCTAGGTGCTGGTGGAGCTTCTGCGAAAAATTACACGTACTGGAAAAATGTTTATCAGATGAAAATTAAGAGAAAATGCCTCAGTAACAACCAGAACGTAAAGACTGATCACCCATCCTGGTACAACTGGGAAAGGTGGTGAGGGAATAAGGAAAGCAGTTCCTCATTTCATTGATGATCTTGAGGACAATATAGAGTCAGCACAGATCAGATTTTCTAACACCATCAGAAACAAAGGAAAATCATATAGGAAAGGAGAGACAGGGGAGCTGAATCTACTGACCTATGATCCAGAAAGCTCTGAGCTCTGGAGCACACACAATGAGTACAAAAGTCTATAAAAGTTCTAGAGATAGGAAATAAAGAACAAAGCTACAGAAAACCCAAGAGCTGACAGCTGTAGCAATATTACTGAAATCCTTGCAGGGCAATAGAGCAGTGAAGAATGTCAGTTGTTACTCTTGGTGGTGTGCAAAAGAATTATTATATATCTTTGATCTTTTTCTGGGGTTTCAGTTATTCATATTCATATAGAGGTTTGATGTTTCTATATACTCATCTAGAAATAATGTACCTGCAATTCTGTTTGCTTGAGGTGCAGGGACAAGTGGGAAAGGGAGACAATCCCTGGAGCTTAAAAATGACAGTGAAAAGTTAGAATGAATTTAAACAAAGGACAAGAGAAATACCCCAAAACTGAAGTGAACATCAGAGCAGACATAACAAAGTAGTACAGGAAGGCTGTGGAAGAAAGAATAAGGAACCATCCAAGGAACAGTCCCAACAAAACAAAAAGCAGTTTTTCACATTCTTATGATGCAGTGGTGGGAGTTGAAGAAGATCGTGGCAGGGCAAGGAGGGTGTGTTAGTAGGTGCACTGGGAATATATTTAGATAGTGCTTCAAAAGGCAGCCATCTGCTTAGGGATTCACAATGGCCCTTAAATGTCTCCTGCCTGTATATCAATACTTAGGCCCTCACAGCTGATAGTCCAAGTCACTTTCTGGAGCTAACTCAGGTTTTAAAACCCTGCCTAACTTCTAAACCATGATTTCACATTCCTATTTAGCAAAACCCAGGAGTGGCTGTGCCCCAGAGTAGGCTACTGTGCTGTAGGTATTGCTAAGGAAAGGCAGAGGAACAGAGCTCTAAATGCTGCTGTCTCCATGGGAGCCTAGAGCAGCAGTAGGAGCTGGAGCAATGACATCCTTGCAAAGGCTACACCTTTCTGGCAAGAGATGCTCTACCATGTCCTCCCATGCTAGTCCATAGCTTCTCTGCAAGCAGCCTCCCATGGGGCCAGTGCAGCTCAGCAGTCCCCTATCCTCCAGCTGTGTTTATACCCCTGTTTATTATATGGGTGCTCTTTAGCTCTATTCATCACATAATGAAGTCCTTCCATCCCTCTTCCTTACTTGTTTCCTTTCCTCACAGTCACTAGCTGCTGAACTGGACTTTTGTTTTAATGGCTGCTGTGCTCCAGCATGATCAGGATGTAGTATTTTGCCTTCTCATTTACTGACAAGATCTCTAATGCAAGAAAAGATGATGTGAGTTACCATCCCTGGCAGAGTAACTCCTACAGAAGGACACCCATGGCCAAACATAAACCAAAATGAGAGTGAGCAGTGAAGGAGTAATAGGAGAATAAAATATTACCTCAGTCTGCTTCTGGGAACCCTAACTCCAGCTGGCAATATTGTTGCATCATGTCCTGCCATGGGATATTATCTTGCCATCAGAAATGCTCTGAATTAAATACATAGCTTTTCTGGGATCCCTCTGTACTGATGTCGTCCATGGAAATAAGTCTTGATGTAAAGCAATTGCTCCTCTGCTGCTGGGACTATCAGGTGGCAGGGAGCAGCTGAACATGCCTTTCTCAACATTCACCTCATGCTTGTACATTATTCAAAGGGAGAAAAAATAACTTCATCTTTAGAGAGGCTGAAATTGCTGATTTCTTTCCTGTCCTAAGGAAAATGAGAGCTAAAGACTAGGAAGAGATAGAACAAGGCATCAGATGCACTGCCCAGCAGAGCAAGACATAAGGGACCCAACTGAGCCTCCCCTCTTAACAGTGGAAGGAGCACTAGGACTGAAGGAAGAACCTAGGTTTGAAAGTTACCTCTATAGAACTCTTTACGCAGAACAGATAAAAGAATATTTGGCCCAAGAAAAAGAGAAAATAGAGGTTTAATAATTGCCTTGCAGTATTATATGTCCTGGGTAAAATGTCTAGCATTTGAATCAGAGGATCAGAAGTTAGAATCCACGTGTTTTCTTTCTGATTCAGTCTAGTTGTCACTGTTTGACATGATGTAGAAGTGTGGATTCACAGCACACAGTAGAACGAGTTGTTAGGAAAAGGGTTTTCTGAATTTTTCAGTTTTTATAGGGTCTTACGTTACAGGTTTAACATGATTGGTTAAGGGAACACTACCTCTTGTCCCATTGGTGGGACAAGAGAAAAACACACTATCTGCAGCTATACACAACTGTTTTGAGAAAGTAAAATGGTTTACAAATATTATCCTTGAGCGAGAGAGCTCCCAAGAAACTTCCCCTTGGAAACAGATCAGCTACTGACAGGCTGTAATTCTCTCAGGCTCAGAGAAAATCAGGTCCACAGTCTAGTAACTTTTCTGTGTCTTTGTTTTCCATTCTGTCACTTTTTTAAAGTCACTTTTTTAAAAACTTGCTTTATTTCCAGGCTCAGAGAAATGTAAAGCAGTCAGTTATACTACACACTGAGGTACATATATGAAAATAAGTGTATGGTTACTTTGGTTTTAATATTACTAGATAGATCAAAACTGTGAAATCAGTTTTGTTCTGCCCTCATGTTTGGGCTTGAAATACTTCATGTGTAGCAGAAACCAGGAAAGATATCTACAATTAAGGTCACTTCAGGTCTATCACCCATATACTACACTACATCTTTCAGTACTTTATTCTACATGGAAAGGTCTTGACTATCAGGGATGGCACTACAAGGACCTGCTTCAAGAGCTGATCGACCAGGTGTCCTTGCTGGCAACCCTCCACTGCCAACATCTAAAAAATTATAAATTCTACTTGAACTCATCAGCTGCTGCCAGCCAGACATGGGCATCCTTGCTGGAGTGAGTGCCTGCAGATAAAGTTGATGTAGAAGAGTCCCTCCCTGAGCTGGATAGGGTGAGAGAAATAAATCAGTTACTGAGAAGTCTCTTTTGCGGCTATGCTGTCTGCAAATTATCTCTCATCATCCTTAATTGTGTAATACTGCATGCCTCTGGAAACTCTACACTGCCATGGAGAGCTGAACTGAAGAGAGGGCTCCTTGGGAGCCTCTTGAAATAAGGGTTCTGTGCTTAACACACAGTTAGCGAAGGAGAAAACTAAGCTGCCATAAGATCTCTGGAAAGCCAGGGAAATTTAACCTCCAAGTTCTTTCCTGACACCATTATGTCTCCTGAGTCCTCTAACCCCAAAGTGTTGAAGAAACCAATGACATCCATCCTTTTTCCAGCATGCAGAGGTACTAGAGCACATCTGGTGAATGGCTGCAGCTTCTGTGAGTGACTCCCAGACCCCTGACTCCAGACTCTTTCTCTTATCTGTTTCTTAGGATGTCTTAGGTGAGGTAGACCCCAGTGCCAAAGCTGCAGCAGAAAGCTCTGGTCTCTGCAGGTCTGATTTGAATAGTGCTCCTTTGTAAGCTAGAGGAACTAACCCACCTGACATTTACAGGAATCAGGCTTTTGGAAGGAGAATCCAGCACAAGGAAAAGGCATGGGTGAATGGCAGTTTAGAGGACTTACTGGCCTGCTTGGCTTTCTCTGTATACGTGGTGGTTAGGTCTTCATCAATCGGATGTTCCACTGGCCCCACCATGGGGATGAGATGGCGTTCCGCTCGGATAGCCTTGGTGGCATGGGGCAGGAGCATTGCCTCTGGAGAGGGCTCCCGTCCCTCTATTGACGGTGGCTGCAACTGTCCCTCGCTGTCTGAGAATGGAGTGTCTGTGCGACTGCCAGGCAGGCAGACAATCTCCCTCTTGGCCACCCTGTTGGAGCTGGCCAGCTCTGCTCCCCCCTGTGCAGCAGCCTCTGGCATGCTCTCATAGCCACTCTGTTCAGACAGGGACACCTCGTCCTGAGGTGCGTCCGCCTTGCTGGTGGTGCTCTCAGGTGGGGAGCGTGGGCTCTTCTTGCGAGCCCGGCGGTGCTTCTCCTGTGCCACATTGTCAGCATCGCTGTCTGTCTCACCATAGTAGGCCTCGCTGTCCGGTGGGGACGTGAGGCTCTCCAGGTGCCTCTGCGACCTCCATGGCTGTGAGGGCTGTGTGGTGGCTGGAGCTCCTGCTGGTTCAGAGCTGAGTAACTGTGCTGGGGGGCTGAGCACAGATGATGGAGAGAGCACCTGCTGCCCTGGAGAAGGGGAACGCTGGAGCCTCGGGCCAGTCTGGTCCCCACCAACTATCCTGTGGGGAGAAGGAAAAGTGGTGAGCGAGGTCTGGTTTGTGTAGCTAAACTGGAAGGAAACCCTGGTGTGAGAGAGGGCTATGGACTGGGACAGTGTTAAATATGTTTTTCAGGTGGTACAGACACCAAGAACAGACTTGTCCCTGACATCACCTACATGCTCTCATTCTGATTTTCTGCTTCACAGCTCTATGGAAACCAGGTGTTAAACTTTCAAAATTCAGAATGCCCTAAAACCATGAAAATCTACCAAGCTTAATCAGCTCCCCAGGCATTTCTCCTGGAGATATGAATTCCTGCATAGCAAGCATTCCCCAGGACATACCCTTCAGCTGGTGGCTTGTCAGCAGAGAATGACTGGAGCTCAGCTATCCCACTGCACTCCAGCTGCTCCTGCAGCTGAGACTGTCAGATCTGCAGATCCTGGCACCCCCAAACCACTTTAGTTCGGACTGAGCTCCCAGGAAGTCCTCTGACCTCCTGCCCCCTGTTTCCTCTGACCTCTACATGGGAGTAAATAGCAAATCCTCAAGATGTAAAGGCCCAAGCGTTTTTTGGGGATAGGACTATGGTATCCAGTGGTAGGAGACCTCTATAATATTTAGCCTGCTCACTGTGGGACTGCTTCACAAGCTAATTATCAATACCTGGGTTTTGACCACCATATGCAGTTATGCTGGCCATAATCCACGGTGGCATTTGCCTTTGGCTTAGACATAGCAATTTCAAACCTCTAAGACATCTGGAAGGATGACTGGAGTAGGTGCTGGGCAGGCTGGGGCAGTCAACCCTACTGCTGGCTTCCAGAGGTAAGGAGAGTTGGCTGTGCTGGCAGGAAAAGAGCCCATTCTGTCTTCCCTCTCCTCTAGAGTGAGTCTGGATTTCAATGGCAGTTTGACTCCAGCCCACACAGATGGAGCTGGGAACTTGCTCCTTGTCTTGTCAGACTCACCAGGGTTTATAAGAGTTATAAAGGAGTCCTAAATATTTGCTTTCTGAACACGCATATCATGAAGCCAGGCAGACAGCATTGCCTCTGTAAAGCTGTGGAACTCATGACTTGGATCCCAATTCTAAACTGTGAAAATTTTATATTTATATCAAATGCTTTTGTCGAAGCTAAGGGTGGGAGAATTTCTCTGGCAGTTTATTTTTTAATACTATTTGCCATTATGAAATCTCACTGGGGAGCAACCTCAACATTTCACAAGCAAAACAGAACAGTTCCTCCTCTTTTTTAAACACTTGACCAGGTAACTGAAAAGCCGGTAACTGCTTGTAAGCCAGTTTCTCTTGTTCTGTACGGTCAGGTCTCTCCTTGGGAGACTGTCAGTGTCTCCTCCTTCCTCTTTTTCTGAAATACACATACTCCAGAGTCATCCAGCTACCTCTCCTTTCTGAACAGGAATGATTGGTGTTTTCTCTGGGAAGGTAAAGATTAAGTGGGAATAAACATGTGATCAAGAAAGCAACATTTGATGATTTCTCCACTACTCCAAATGAGGCCAACTGATTACATTATTTCCAAACAATCCAGAGTCGGCTCCATCCAGAGGGCTGCAAGAAGCCTGCCTTTTTCACTTTGTTGTGACAAAGTCAAATGTGTGTTTCAAATCAAATTCAAAGTGTGCTGATTTTGACCGATTAGAATTTGCCCAGGCACCTGCTGGCTGCAGATAGGTTCCAACAGCGTGAGATAAGGCCTTGGCAAGGGACCAGGCACTATTCTGGACACCTTGCATAGAACTTACTCATCCCACTTAATCACAGCTAGGGTATAGAGTGAGCACATCAGAAGGCACCAGCACTTTCTCTGAAGCCAAGGGGAAGATCTTGCATGCTCAGGCTTTCCTTCTCTAAGCGCTGCTCACCTCTGCTCCTGCTTTATGGATGACAGCAACCAGCATGGCTGTCCCTCCCTATTGCTCACAGTGCTCTCCCTTGTCCTTTCAAGGCTGTAGAAGATAACATCTCCCAGCCCCATTCACCAGGGCCTGATTTTCTGAGGGTGACTTCTGTTTAGGCAGTAGTGTGGACTGCTTAGGACCTCACAAAGCTTTGCTGCCTTCATTTATAGGATTATTCATTTATAGCTTGGGCGGCATCCAGCAGGCACTGATGCACCAGGTTAACTTAGCACAGGAGGATAAGGAACGTTACTGACACTACTTTTTGTCCATAAATTTAGCCTGATCTCCAGTATTCTCTTGAACTAGAGACCAGCAGAGATATTTCTTCCCATAAAAAGGGGGCTTAGTCACACACCTCTAATCTTTGTGGATGTCAGTATACAGACTGTTGTACCACAACAGCCCACTGTAAGACAGGGCAAAACATTGAGATGTCCACATGTTAGGACATGGGTAAGTCCTCCTAGTACACCTTGCACTATGATGAAACCAAAGGCTTCCTGCCTGCCTTGTTTCTGCTGGATGTGGACAGCTGCTGTACTGGATGAAACCACCCTACTGCCTGCACTGTCACAGCACTGGCACTTGGGAGCAGGTTACCTTTTCACACGGATGTTGAGCATGCCATTGGAGGAATCGATGATCTGCATGGCATTAGCATGGGACAGGCCAGCACATGACTTCCCATTGATAGATACTAGAACATCATTTTCCCACAGGCCTCCACGGCACGCTTTGCTTCTCTTTCGAATCTGAAAAAGCAGGAGAGAGGATAAGGATGAAGGGAAGAACAAAAGCTATTTAGTTCAGTTGTTTGTCTCTTGCTGGCCCTTCTATTGCTCCATTCCTCACAGAATAAAATAAGGCCTAAGACAACTGTGCTGACAGGGTGGAGCACTAATTCTCTTGAATGAGCCCTGGCTGTTCCTTTTGGCCTCTGTTCCTGTTAATTCCAAGAACCACTCTGCTGAGCATAGGCCTGACCTGATCACCAACCCTGTTCAAGTTCTTTAGTGCAGATGAAAGACTCAAGAATATCTACAGGCTCTTCTCCTCTTGTTCCCTGTCTCCTAAGTTGGTTAGGGAGTCTGTGTTTCAGAGAGGGAACAGACTATGCCTGCACATGACCATGTGTCCTTCTGCATGCCCCTACTGTACTTCCTTGGTATGATCCCTGACTCAGGCAGAGCCTCTGCAAGTACCATCCTCAGGGAAGCTGACACTGGGGAGAGGTGGCAGTTCTGAGGCATATTCTGTTGTTAAGCATTCCTGTTCCAATGGCTTTGGTCAGTGTATTTCTGGACATCTGCATCAGGCCATATGGTGTCCTGTTACACAAGTGTAATCTTGGAATAAATCTTTAGCCTTAACAGGAGTTGTGCAAGATATGCATTGCTATATCTGAGAAGGGAGTCGGAGTCACTGGTTCCAGGCAAGCTCCTACTTCTGTCCTCTCATGGCCATCTTGCACCAAGTGTTTCCTCTCTCTTTCTTTCAATTATCCATCAGTTAAACTTCTTACCAACTCAGCCTAGCCTTTCTGCTAGGATAAGCAAGCAAGAAAACCAAATGCCCACTCAGCCAAAAACCACAGACCTCTCCCATATAGGCAAGTAGTGGGGATAGTCTTGTAGGACATCTTAGCACCCATAATGTACTCATTTTGCACATAATAGCCAGGTAAAATCAGTGGGTCAGAGCAAGTCAGGACCAAGGTAGTATTGCATTCTATTTGTAGATTCTTCTAGAATATTTCTTCAGATCTTGCAGTTAAATGAAAGACAAATCAGTGCACAGCTGTTTAGCAGAGGGTGCAGTGAACAGACTGTCAGATCCCTGCAGAGAAGTAATATTCAACAGGGCACCTTTGCCCATATCTCACAGCCTTGCTGCTTGAGCCTACAGACTCACCTATAACACCATAGAGCTTCTTTGCCCACACTCCCATGGCAGCTTCAGGAAAGAGAAGTGAATGTGGGAGGATTGCTCCCCTGTCATTGTTCTTGCAGGAGCAGCAGAGGATCAGGAGACGGGAGAGCTGGAGCCCTAAGGAAGTCCCATGGCATGATTGGCTGGTCTTAGGGCCCAGGACCCCTGCACCCGTGGGGTGTGTGAGTGCCTTGGGTTTGACCCTGCTGGCCTGTGTTGAGCAGACAAGAGCAACACTCCTCCCAGGTCAGCCTGTCAGCAGGACTGAGAGGTGTTGGGAAAGAAGATGGAAAGAGGAGGGTTATGCTTCAAGTTGTTTTTGTGCTCACTGGTACTTTATCACTCTGTAGCCTTTCCAACTTGACCCCAAATCTTGCCTGCATGCTTAAAATAGGGACTGTCTCATCGCAGCTGCCACATCCATCAGCCTCTGTCATTTTAGTCCTTTATCTCCCTCCTTGTTAATATAAGCCTGGAATGAGCATGTGTAGGTCTGTAATGAACTACTGCTGAAGAACCACTGTTACAGTATAAATGCTGCTTCCTGATACTTCCTCCAGATGCAGCTGTCAACTGAGAAGGTAAAGACACATTTTCCAGTGCTGTTTGCTGACACAGCAGCTAATGAAAATAGTTATGGTTTAAAAGAGGTTAAAGGAGGGTTTCCCAGTATTCCCCAAAAGGCCAATTGCTGCTCCATAGCCGAGTACTGGATGGGAAGATACTTGCTGGGTACCTCTCCCAGTTGTGAAGCGAGGGGACTGGGGATTAAAGTCTGTCAGCCAGTGCTCAGAGCGTTCCTCACATCCTATGGTATTCCTCCCTGATCACTGAAACCAAGGATGTAAGCTGGTGACCAGCCAGAAAAACAGCAGTAAACTTCCTCAGTACTGCAAGTCTTTGTGAACCTTTTGTTTGGGGTTCCCAGGCAGGAAGGATCAGACTGTGCTCCCAACACTGCCTGACGCTGTTTCAGGTACCTTTATACCAGAGAAGGCTGGTAGGACTCAAGCAGGTCATGTGGGCTGATAATCATGAGCAGGCAATGCATTTTTCTCATGGTTAGTGAGGATGCTGGGTTTGGCTTGGTCTGTGCTCAAATTTCACTGGACTTCAAAGCACATGCACTAAAGCAACTATTGGTACTTCAGAGCTCTACAATCCGGGAGGAATTTTTCCATGTCTCCATTCCTTTCTGGGAAAATAGGACCAGGTCTCTTCCAGTGCAGGAAGAGACCTATACAGTCTGAAAATAGCATGTGTCTGGCTCAGTCTTCCACCAATTTATAAACACTCCCTGGAAGTTTATGAATTTGCTTCCTGGGATCAGAGGGAAATGAACTATCCACAGCTTCATTTTTACACCAGACCCCTACCTCACTGCATTTGCCAGGGAGGAAGGCAAAGGGGTTAAACATAGAAGAGGATTGTGCAGAGAAAGAAGGACAGGACAGGACTTAATCCACAGCCACGACAGCAGGGTACAGTGTGCTGGAGGCTGCAGAGCCTCTGGACAGAGACCAACACAAGCCTGCCAGTTTTTATATGACTGTCAGCTCTGTGCTGTAGAGAATTTAATGACAAACTATAACCTGCTCATCTCGAGTACAGCGAGGGCAGCACCGAGCCTTTGAGGCCCCAGGCCAGGGTGGCTGCCCAGTCCAAAAGTCAGGCTCCCTGCCCATCCTGAAGGTCAGGCTGCCCTCAGGATCAGCCACTTGCTCCCCATGTCCAAAAGATGCCCTCTCCTGGGCACCCAGTGAGCCACATGAAGCGTCACTAACAAGGAGCTTCTGCTTAGGCTGCAGAAAGCTTGGAAGGTGTCACCCAACAGCTGTTCTGAAGAGGTGGGAAAAGTTGGAAAAAGTGGTGTCTCAAAGAGAAAACCTCTCTGCTTTCTGTAACATATACCTGGAGAGCTTTCTTGTGCAAATGAGAAGCAGCACTGATAGACTGACAAGAGGTCAGGGTTGGCCCCCAGACCTGGCCTTGGGGATTGCACTGTCCGACCTTCTAGCACATACTGGCAAAGACTGACCTCTACTTTCATGTGAGCAGCCCCAAAAATTCTGTGAGCCTCTTGTAACTGGCTGTTAGAGTTTCCATTCCATGCCTCAGTGAACACACTCTCCCATGGCATACTCATGTCAAGGTATATCCTGTTTAGATTTCAGATGGGTTTAGGAAATCCCAGTTTAGAATCTTAGGGATTTATGCTACCAGAAATACAAATCAATGTGAAAAACTGGAACACATTTACTCAGAAAATTGTCCATGTCCCTGCTCTCTCAGCAGGAGACCTGGAGCAACAAAAGAGCACTTGTCAGAGAGGTTTGGGTCTGCAGTAGCTATGTACATGCACATACAAACACGTTTTCTTTCATTACTTTGCTTCTTCCCATTGATCATGTTCAATCTGACAGAAGGGAAAGGACAGAGGCAGCTGATACAAAATAACAAAAAAAAAAAAACCAAAAAAAAAAAGGAAAAGAGTAAGGCAATGACTGAGGAGGAAAGGAATAAGAAAAGGTGTTGAAAGGAAGTTCAGTGCTAGGAGGGGCCAGGAAGGCCAGGGTTGAGATCAGGCTTTAACAGTACAGTACAAGTTTCCTTGTACAGCCCTAGGCAGACAAAAGAACATGCTGACTGTTGACGTGTCTTGGGGAATTCAGCCTAGCTTTCAGGAACAGAATGCAAGAGAGGAGGGGTCAGATGCAACTTGGCAGCATCTGTACTTCAGCAGGGACTATATTTAGATAGTGGTATGTAGGGGCTGAACACATGCTGGGATGTTAAAAATAGAGTAATCCCAATAGTAACTTAGTGGCTTCACGTCTTGCCTCAGTACAGCCCAGGGAACCTGTCTTGAAACTTCACAACCACTCTCCCTGCTGGCCAGTACCACTTCTTCGTAATGAAGTAGGCTGTGGATAAATAGAAGTGGTTTGCAACGTAGCCTCATGTCATCCATCTCTCCCCTTGCCTCCCCAAGCCACCTCCCACTTCCTCTCACTGGGAGAGCTCAGCCTATAAGGTAGGAAGATAAAATTTATTATCAGTCTTCACCTACTCTCCTGCAATCTTTTCAGCAGAAACCTAGCAGCCTCAGTCCAAGTCAGAGTTTTATACTGAATACAATCCATCTTCCCACCCAATGCCTCTCCACTCTGCATCTCTCAACACATAGCCATGCCCTTCCCCCAGAAGCTACAATGCCATGGTGTCCAACACTCCATACAATCTGGCAGTGTTTAAATTTCATTCCCAGCCTTATGTGAAATGCAATCCTGTCACAGGTTTCTCATGGAGAGGTTAGAAATTACTTTTATGGTATAAAGCATTACCAAAATGGAATGACTCAAGCAAAAGCCAATCAGCATGTGGGTCTGCTCCTCCCAGAACTCCCTGCTCAGCTGAACCACAAACAGAGCAGTTGCTGGATGCAAAAGCAGAAACAAACACCCTGCATCTCTTCTTTCTGAAAATGTGTGTTTATATAATTTTGGTTATTGGGCCAGTTTGGCTTTTGTCCAAGGCCAGTATTTACTCTTTTTTTGTGCAAGGAAGAATACTCCTGTGACTGGAGCAAGGAGATGGCTAGAGTGGGATTCAGAAGATCTGGATGATTTTTGTGTGACCTAGGATAAAAGACTCAGATTGTAAGCCATAAAAGGCAGGAGCCTGAAACCAAGCCCTTTTTCTACAGTCTTTCTTTATTTCAGCTGCTCACCTGAACACAGAGATCCTGTGAGATATTTTCTCTATGCCTTATCTATGAAGTAGCAAATAACATCACATCCTCATGTCAATGCCATGTTTTTAT